CATCCTAAACTGTGCAAATCAGTAACCTCAGAAACCACTAGCGTTAGGAAGTTAACTAAGATGGCACTCAAAATGGAAAAAATAACTGAATATGGCAAGAACTATAGAAAATAATATACAAAAGATAAAGTGCTGAAAGAATCCAAAATAAAAATCAGAAGTCAAAACCTACAGACCATGACACCCGTGATAGTTTCACATTCACTGATGTTGCAGCTCTGTTCCCATTCTCTGTAATTTAAAGCAATGTTTGGTTTGATTTTCCACAACATTTTATCATCACTTAAATGTTATTTCCATCACTGTAAAAAGAGATTAAACTAGTAATGAGCCATCATAGATCCACAATTATTTATTGCACTGAAAGAGCGCTCTCATTGTACTATTACCACTGCTAGAGGGGCCACCTTGGGTATCTGTTAGATCCAGGTTATTTCACGTTTGTTAGAAAATCCATAAAAGATAAAAAAAATGTCTTCCTCTCAGTGGTTTCTCTCTCCTCACTTTAGATTCCGTCTAGACTGGCGAATCATGATCTTTTCTGCTTTTAACTTGATTGATGTCTGTGTTTTTGTCTGAGTGCCGCTGACTTCCTTCCCATATGCTCCAAAAGACTGAGAGTCTGCAGCAAGCATGTGCAAACCAACATAGGCACAGATGTGAAATGTGTAGAGCGGGGAGTTTTCATGTAGCTGTGCAGAGGGAACTGCTGCTAAGTACATGCGACATGCTGTTGTCTTTAAAACATGAGCATTCTTGGAGAGCCAATCACTAACCGATTGGGCACATTAATAATGTAGGACATTTTTAAGAGAGATTTTCATTTTCAAGATAACATGTTTGTTTTCTGATACTTTCTAACCAGCCATTGTAATGTCCTGAATCCCAGACCAAGGGAACATAGATGCTGTTAAAGATTTACATATTCTGGCACTTTATGTTCTCAGCAGTAGTAGGCCTTTAGAAAGGTACTGCCTCAGGGGCGTGCTTTGGTGGTGCAGTGGTTAGTGCACTCGACCCATGTATGGAGGCCTTAGTCCTCAATGCGGACGACCCGGGTTCGAAACTGGCCTGTCTTTCCCCCTCTCTCATACCCCCTTTTCCTGTCAGTCTACTGTTCATTAAACAAGCCACTAGTGCTGAAAAGCAAAAAAAAAATCCTTATAGATTAAATCTGTGGGATCCAGACCTTCCATCCTGCCCAAGTTTACTCCTTGATTATCTTGTGAAACAAATGGAAGCTTTCAAAGCAGAAAACAGAAACGTTTTCCCACGCAATCCTTTTGGGGACCATTGACTACATTCATTTCTTTGGTCCAATACCAACTCATACCTCACCCTAACCAGGGGATGATCTAGCATTTTGGGAGATCAGGGGCTTAGCCCTCAGGTTGAAGATGAGACTGTAGACTTTCTGGTAAATCCCGTTCTAATAAATATAACAGCTTACTGGATTAAAGACATTTCTAGAATACTACATGCTATCATACATAACAATTCCCTTCCATAACACAGGAAGAAATCAACTTACCTGCAAGTCTTTAACTTTGTTTATTCCTCTCTTCATGAACACCAAACTCTGTAGATTTGGTGACATTTGATCATAATTTGCCAAAGTTATAAGAGGGAAACCAAATATTTTAGCCACCTGATATAATCCATTCCCCACATAACATGGGGAAAAAATGAACAAATCCTGTGAATTTTGATACCGTCCTTATTTTTCTATATTATTTTTGAAACATCTATTATTTTGTATTTTGAAATCCAAAATAGGTCAAATAAATATGACCATTGGTTTTATGACCTTTATGAAATGTATTTTCAATTCTTAATTCCAAATGTCTGGAGCAATGCTACTCCAGATTGAGTAATCTTTTTGTATGGAAAACCAAGCATCTTTAAACTGGGAAATCAAAGTGGTTTTGTTTGGTTTTAACTTTTTTTGGAATATTTGTAAATTGTTAGATAAACATTTAAATAGAAAAGGGGAACGGATTATATCAGGTGGTTAAAATTTATGATTCCCCTCTCATAACTCTGGCAAATGATGATTAAATGTCACCAAATCCACAGGGTTTGTTGTTGAAGAAGAGAGGAATAAACAAAGTTAAAAGACTTGCAGCTAAATTAATTCCTCCCCATGTTATGGAGGGGGAACGGATTATTTCAGGCAGCTGAAATATCTCTCCTCTCCTCCTCCCATATCTTTGGGAAATAAAGAGCAACTGTTTTCAAATTCTCAACAATTGTTTATGTGTGACATCATGATACTAGAAATTCCGTAAAAGTTCAGAAAAAAGTTCAAAAAAATCCACTGGACTTGGTTTCCAAGATTTGAAGCCGTTTCGCCACCTCTCCAGGAAGCTTTCTCAATTCCTGGAGAGGTGGCGAAACGTCTTCAAATCTTGGAAACCAAGTCCAGTGGATTTTTTTGAACTTTTACAGAATGACTATGACCTGGATGACTGAGAATCTTCATCAGATACTAGAAATGACTATAATCCAGTAATCTGTCATATTGTACATTAGAAAGGCATTTACCAGAAAGTCCACACTCACATCTTTTGAGGAACTCTTAATTTTTATGTCCTGCTATTAGCCAGTTTCCATCCTCTTATATCACCGATGAGAATTGATAAATACTCATTACATGTTGGAAAATAGTGTTTGGTGACTTTTATTTCTGTCAGGCTGAAGTGACAGAAGTTGGAAAAAGACAGATTCTCCTGGCGTTTAAAAAAACAACACTAAACAGCTTAAAAAGGACCTCGTTTATTTATTTAATTGACAATTTTGTAAACAACAGTTGGCGATTAAACTGGATGTTACAACCTTGACATGATTTTATGAGTTGTTTTTACTAAGAAATCGATCTATCCGCCAAGTCGGCCTGTGTGGCTTCAAAGCGTGCTCCCGACACAAGGGAAACATACAACACCAAGACAAAGAACGTCTGGAAGTCGGTCAGAGCTTCACAGTGCTGAGACATCAGTCTCAAGAAGAAGTGACAACTTCTTCTTGTGCGTGGTAATGCTACAGGCTGCTTTCCTGCACAGCCTGCCACCATGTGGTGAATTCCAGTACTGCACATTTTACTCAGATCAGCTCAGAAGTGAGATCCGGGGCTCTTGGGGAAACATTCGGGGCTGTAGCCCAAGTAGCCGCCCCCTAATCCGCCACTGACCCTAACCCTCATTTCTGTGGTCTTACCATTACCAACTCATACCTAACTCTAACACTTACTACAAAGGACTGGGTATACCCCTGTAGCAGTGTGTCGCAGTGACCTTGATGCAGGTATGACGCAGATATTTTTGATTTATGCCCAATATTGAAGCGTGGACAAGGGACAATCAGGAACCAGCTGTGGGTCTAGACACGGCAGAGGCAGTGAGGAACTGGGGGAAGTTTGTGCGACAACGGAGGGACATGAGGGCGAAAAAGAGTGGGGATCCAGGTGGAAAAAGGGTCCCAGCGTTCTCATGCAGCTCGCTCTTCTAGCTGCTCCATCTTAACAAATCATTTTCCACAATGGCGGTCATACAAACAAAACAAGCCGGTAAGGTACCAAACAGGATATACGCATAGAGTAGAGTGGATTTAGATTTGACCAATCAGAGGCCTTCTGTCTGCGGTCACCTACCATTCTTGGGAGGTGCACCAGAGTGTCTTTGGAAGGGGCGGTGGTATATAGCTACGACACACACGCAGACCACCTGGTTTCTGAGCATAAACCAGCCTTAAACTAGGATTTTCTGTCGGACCAGAAACATAATCGGATTCGGTGTGTTCTGGCCTCAAGATTAAAATAAAATGATTCAAAGTAATCCAAGACTAGTTGAACATGTTCGCTAAAGAACAAACATTACAGTTATAGATTCCTAAGCTTCAGCAAAGCAGAATACATGAAAAGCATTTGTTGAGATTTATTTTTTCATGTTTAGCAACTTTACTTGGAAAAAAAAGATCCGAGAAAAAAAAAAAACCCTTAGAGAAAAAATAACTATATCAGATTAATTTGTGATGAATAAGTTCCAGTGAAAATCATGCATTTCATAAACATCTTCCTGTAAACTCTCCTTTTATCAGGTCCTGTTTTGTAAAAGGGAAATCTGCAGCAGCCTGTCCAATTCTACGCAGTAAATTCTTCTGCTTTTGAGGTCCATAAAATCCTCTGCTGGCTCCTTGACTTTATTCTATAATTGATGCGTGAAACAGCTGACAGGCACAGACAAAGCCGCACACCGTGGAGACGCACAGAGATGCAAAGAACCAGTGGACGGTGATCACACATGGCATTAGGCAGAGCTGAAGGAGATGGATAGAAGTAGCAGAGAAGCCTTTCTAGGAGTATCACTCTGTGAACTAATGGATAGTATGCAGTGTAGTGAAGGTGTCTGCTACTTCCTGCCTCCTATTCTGTGGGCCTGAGGGTGGGGAAAAGACGCCTTATAGGGAGAAGCTAGTTAAATCCCTATCGGGTCATATTTCTGGCTTCCAGCAGTGGATTACGTGGGAGGTTTCATCTTTATGTGAGGTCAAGAAGTTCTGAGGATAGTCAGCTGAACATGAGATAAAAGTCCAAATGAAAGGCAGACGCTCTGTGCACACAGAGCCAAAAGTAAGCTCCATGTTTTGTCTGCTGTGAAATAAAGTTAGCCTGTGATGAAGAGCTGGATAACATCCCAGAGTTTTGTTTGCTAACCTCACCCACATGTTTTTTTTTTTCTTCTTCCTAGTCATTCACATTTCAGAGCTGCTGTCGGATTAAAGAGAGGGGGCGGGGGAGGAACAGATAGGCAGGAGCTCTTTGAAGGAGCACACAGTCTAAAGTTTCTCAGAAATGTTAATGACGGCATAGTTTTTCTCATTGTTTAGACTCGAGTTCCAGCTTTTCGTTTTCACAAGATTCAACCTTAAGGAATTTAAACTTCCAATGGATCTAAGAAGACTCCATCTGCTCTCAATCCTGTTGGTTTTTGCTGTTTTATCTGCAGCACTGGGGAACCAGACAGGAAGGATCAAGGTGGTCTTCACACCCACCATCTGCAAGGTGACCTGCATAGGAAGCAGATGTCACAACAACTGTGAGAAGGGAAACACCACCACCATCATCAGTGAGAACGGCCACACCACAGACACGCTGACAGCTCCAAACTTCAGAGTAGGTAAGGGATCCTCACGCCCGTCACTTTAATCTTTAAGATTTTATGCTTTTCTACAAAATGTCCTAATGGTTTTCTAATGACTATAAAGATGGTGGAAACTTGAATCTTGAGAAGCTCACAACAGAGATATTTACAATTTAGAGCCAAGCTTGAAGTCTGAATTATTAATTTTTTTGTTTGTTTGTTTTGTTAGCATTATTTTCAGTTTTGCTATATATGCTGGAAATGAAGCTGAATTAAAATGTTGATTCTAAGTAGTTTTGCACCGATGCCATTTTTTTGCCCCGATATCGATACCCGATAACTGGCTGTGCCGTATTGGCCGATACCATCTGTTTAATATTGATGTGTGTGTATATATGAAGAACTGCATCTTACTTGGATGTAAAATAATTGCCATCATGGCTTTGTCAAGCTGCTGCCTTCCTTTGTGAAGCAGGAAACAGACTAATAAAAAGTGAATCCAGTAGAACTTTTTATTGCCTACCTGGAATGGGTAACAATAGTTGGCTCTCAAAATGGTATCAGTGTCCTATTTGTTGGTGCTCGCCGATACCGATACCACCATTTTAGTGCTGGATCGGGGNAAAAAATAACTATATCAGATTAATTTGTGATTGGTAAGTTCCAGTGAAAATCATGCATTTCATAAACATCTTCCTGTAAACTCTCCTTTTATCAGGTCCTGTTTTGTAAAAGGGAAATCTGCAGCAGCCTGTCCAATTCTACGCAGTAAATTCTTCTGCTTTTGAGGTCCATAAAATCCTCTGCTGGCTCCTTGACTTTATTCTATAATTGAGGCGTGAAACAGCTGACAGGCACAGACAAAGCCGCACACCGTGGAGACGCACAGAGATGCAAAGAACCAGTGGACGGTGATCACACATGGCATTAGGCAGAGCTGAAGGAGATGGATAGAAGTAGCAGAGAAGCCTTTCTAGGAGTATCACTCTGTGAACTAATGGATAGTATGCAGTGTAGTGAAGGTGTCTGCTACTTCCTGCCTCCTATTCTGTGGGCCTGAGGGTGGGGAAAAGACGCCTTATAGGGAGAAGCTAGTTAAATCCCTATCGGGTCATATTTCTGGCTTCCAGCAGTGGATTACGTGGGAGGTTTCATCTTTATGTGAGGTCAAGAAGTTCTGAGGATAGTCAGCTGAACATGAGATAAAAGTCCAAATGAAAGGCAGACGCTCTGTGCACACAGAGCCAAAAGTAAGCTCCATGTTTTGTCTGCTGTGAAATAAAGTTAGCCTGTGATGAAGAGCTGGATAACATCCCAGAGTTTTGTTTGCTAACCTCACCCACATGTTTTTTTTTTTCTTCTTCCTAGTCATTCACATTTCAGAGCTGCTGTCGGATTAAAGAGAGGGGGCGGGGGAGGAACAGATAGGCAGGAGCTCTTTGAAGGAGCACACAGTCTAAAGTTTCTCAGAAATGTTAATGACGGCATAGTTTTTCTCATTGTTTAGACTCGAGTTCCAGCTTTTCGTTTTCACAAGATTCAACCTTAAGGAATTTAAACTTCCAATGGATCTAAGAAGACTCCATCTGCTCTCAATCCTGTTGGTTTTTGCTGTTTTATCTGCAGCACTGGGGAACCAGACAGGAAGGATCAAGGTGGTCTTCACACCCACCATCTGCAAGGTGACCTGCATAGGAAGCAGATGTCACAACAACTGTGAGAAGGGAAACACCACCACCATCATCAGTGAGAACGGCCACACCACAGACACGCTGACAGCTCCAAACTTCAGAGTAGGTAAGGGATCCTCACGCCCGTCACTTTAATCTTTAAGATTTTATGCTTTTCTACAAAATGTCCTAATGGTTTTCTAATGACTATAAAGATGGTGGAAACTTGAATCTTGAGAAGCTCACAACAGAGATATTTACAATTTAGAGCCAAGCTTGAAGTCTGAATTATTAATTTTTTTGTTTGTTTGTTTTGTTAGCATTATTTTCAGTTTTGCTATATATGCTGGAAATGAAGCTGAATTAAAATGTTGATTCTAAGTAGTTTTGCACCGATGCCATTTTTTTGCCCCGATATCGATACCCGATACCTGGCTGTGCCGTATTGGCCGATACCATCTGTTTAATATTGATGTGTGTGTATATATGAAGAACTGCATCTTACTTGGATGTAAAATAATTGCCATCATGGCTTTGTCAAGCTGCTGCCTTCCTTTGTGAAGCAGGAAACAGACTAATAAAAAGTGAATCCAGTAGAACTTTTTATTGCCTACCTGGAATGGGTAACAATAGTTGGCTCTCAAAATGGTATCAGTGTCCTATTTGTTGGTGCTCGCCGATACCGATACCACCATTTTAGTGCTGGATCGGGGCCCTGCCTGATACTGGTATCTGTATCGGTGCAACACTAAAGCCTACTAAAGCAGTTGAAGCTGTTTGTTTTTCCTAAAATAAGTATATTTCCCCCATTTGATCAGGTAAGACAATGTCCCAATGGAATAAGATGATTTACAACTAAAATAAGAAAAATGAATTAGTTATCTTCTCCCAGCTTTTCTTACAACTTATCTTATTTACCTGCACATTTAAGAAACCTTAACTGCTTTTTAGATCATTCTTTACAGTGGAAATTACTAAATGGGGATTTCAATAACACTCTTCTAATATCCATTTTCAGTAATCTAATCTAATTCTATAATTTCAGTAATTTTNCTGCTCAAATCCCTGTCAATGTTATTCAGTCCTCAATAACATTTTGCACTAATATGATTAAGCGTTTTTTCTTCTTCTTGCATTTCAGTAAATGATGTAAAAGCTTGGAAAAAGATTTATGTCTCAGGCCAGGTAGTTAAGTCAGGGCTCAGGTTTAAGACAAAATCTAGTCTAGCTTTAGTATCTTTTAATTTTGCAATTAACTGCAAAGCGAGGTGCCATATTTGGCATCCAGGGCTTGACAATTAACTTTTTTACTTGCCACGGTGGCTAGTGGTTTTCCAGAGTTACTTGTCAGTTAGCATTTCTGCTAGCCACAATTTTGTTGTTAGAAAATTTGGTTTAATTTGATTAAACCTGTGGCTGTATGGTGGCTCAGTTTCTAGCACATTTGCCTTACATAAGATGGATTCCTGGGCTGAGGTCTTTCTGAATGGAGTTTGCATGTTTTCCCTTCTCTCTGGGTTCTCTCTGGGTACCCCAGCTTCCTCTCACAGTCCGAAAAAAACATGATCGTTGGGTTAATTGGCTTCTCTAAATTGTCCTTAGGTGTGAGTGTGTGTGTGTGAATTGACGTATGGCTTTGTGTTGCCCTATGATGGACTGGGGACCTGACCAGGGCGGACCTCGCTTTTTACCTGTAGTCTGCTGCATCACCCCTGGAGCGCCAATGTGACCTTGTTTATTTTCCCGAAGAGATAGGAGATGTAAAAAATGTCAAGGCGACAGGACCCCAGCTGAGCCTTCAAGGATGTGCACCTCTGTATGGAGCCGACCATTCAGCTGTTATGCTGTTATTTCATTGATTGCCTTGAACGCAACGTCCAGGGATTGGTGGAGTGATGGGGATACATTTTTTGGCCACCATGTTGTATCTTCCAGCCATAGTTGCCACTCCACCCTTGGCACAGGCAATAATGTTCATCATACCAGGATTTCCCTCTTCTGCAGGATCTTAGTCAAGTCAGAGTCCATGGTTTCCCCTTCCCCTGTCTCTGGTAAGGTATTCCTCGGAAGAAAATTCTCAGCCAGGCCCCTCCTGCACACATAATGAACATAGGCCATCAGGAGGACATTGTTGTCGACCATGTTGGTCTCATCTACCTGGAAACTGAAGGGACAGTTATGCAACATCAGGGTTTCCTCACTATTGCCCAGTTGTGGAAGCATCGGACTCGGGTTCTTGAACTGAGACAGCAGCTTTATTTTGTGTGGGGAAACTATGAAAGTAAAAACTTTAGAGTTAAAACTAATTTTGTACAAGCGAAATGATGGCACCCCCATACCAGCCCTAACACATCTACCACCCCCCAAAATGTTTATAATGCCCACCATGCTCTAGAGGGTCTGAAAAGTCGCTTAATATAGGGTTGGACAGTGCTTTAAACTGCCATTTTTTTTCTGTCTGCTCTGCAGACTGCGGCTTTGAATGTGCTGAAACAGCTTCACAACTTTTTTCTCTGCAGGAACCGCCTTTCTGAAGTGTCATCGGACATGAACAAGCAAACACTGTGCTCAGTGGGTGCTCATGGAACATCTAGTGCCACAAAGTCCCATTTTGTTTTTTTCTTATTGGTTCAGATGATGTTTAAGAAAGTAAATATAATCCAACCTGCCAAAGTGGCCAGTACCCAATATTTAATGCCCTAAAATTAAATTCGATTCGTAATCAGTGGCTATGTTGATGAATTTTCTCAGTCATTCAGGTCATAGACATTACAACAAATTGTTAAAAAAAAACAATCCACTGGACTTTGTTTTCCAAATTTGAAGTCATTTCGCTTCCCATCCAGCACTGAGTTCCAGGCTTATAGAGTAGCCCAACAAAAGCCTTGTTATGGCTTAGAAAATCTGCAAATTGAACCGAAAACAGGTCCACCATTTAATAATGGGGAGTCGTTGAGGTTGTTGTTGTTTTTAACTTTTTTGAAAGAGTAGCTAAAGGTCAATTTATGCTTCTGACACATAGCCTCTGCAGTTGTCAAATCTGTCTCGGTCTCAAAAAAAGCCTGCCTAGGCATCGGACGGTCGCAAACTTGCGCAGACCTCAAGCAGAAGTGCGCAGACTAACAGTTGTGATTGGTCCCTGGTATGCTTTTTTTACGGCTGTCTGTGTGGTCATCCTTCTTGATTCCTACCGGGGCGCACCATTTTTAAAAACAGAGGAACAAGTACAATGGGGGACAAAAGGTTAATCGAGGAGGTTCGGAAGTACAACCACTTGTACGATGTCTCAGAAAATTATATAAATACTGTTATTTATATAAAGATGCCAAGGTCTCTGCCAACTCCTGGAGGGAGATCAGCAAGATC